GGCCCTGGAGGGCTGGGAGTTCCCTCCCCTGTTGTAGAACCTGACTCTGCTGTAAACTCATGAACTCCGTCTTCCCAGACCTGCTGGGTGTCCATGGTGCTGGAGGTTCTGGAGAACCTCTGAGGCCAGAATCAGAACATCTGCATTCTGGTTCCTTGCTCTGACGTCTGAAAGTTAGATTGGATTTAATTCAGGTGGATCAGGATTAAGGGGTTCGCCCTGTTACAGATATTTCTCAGTGAAAATGCTAAAAACTGTCAGTGCTTTTCTCTCCTGTTCAGTCAGAACCGACTTTCTGTTGGTTCAGCATTTGGCTGCAAAGTGACAGAGAGTGAAAGAGTTCATGGGGTGTAAATACTTTGGCAGGACTCTGAACCGCTCCAGAATCAGACACCTGCCAAAGCAAACAGACTGAGCCACTCCAACTCAAACTGTCTGGGAGCCAAAACTAATCAATCACAGATCTTCAGGCCAGATATTTTCCAGCCAGGACAACAAGTTGAGAAACTGTGTTTGTGACATTAACCCATTAAAGTCCAGCTCTGCGCTGACCCACTGGGGGCCGACGGTGGGCAGAGCAGGCATCTCATTGGTCAGTCTGTGTGTGACATCAGAGTGACGCTCCGACCTCGTCTTCCAGGTGACCAGCCGTTCCCCTGCCTTGCGGCTTACGGAGCATCCAAGGCGGCGCTGAACCTGTTCACTGAAACCCTGAGGCATGAGCTGGTTCCCTGGGGGGTCAAAGTGAGCACCATCCTGCCGTCCTCGTATAAGACAGGTAAGCCCCGCCCCCAGACGCCGACCTGGCATCACATGCAAGGGGCAGGTGTTAAAGTGAACATTATGGCTGCTCATTATGCAGGTCTGATGTGGAGTTGGCACAGAAAGAGCAGAGCAGCTCCCCCTGCTGGCCATTGTCCAGATCTACACCTGTATCAGCTTCTGATGGGACAGAGCGCCCAACGATGACTAGATGTCTTAAAATAAACATATCATGTAAACAAATTTAAAGAAAACGAAATCATTTGGATCAAAACTCTCCACATTTATGAGAAAGTTTACCTCAGTCAGCTGGTCAGTCGGCTTCCCAGCTCAACACCAGTACAGATCAGTTTTTAGTGGCTGTGGACCCGTTCCGCTCCAGTACCGACCCGTTATTCCCAGCATCCATCAACACATCAGCATTACAATGAGTCCTTCAACCAGGAGCAAAGTCATAATGAGTGACCATGTCAAGGAAAACATTTTTTATTGGCCTAACTAATATTTTCTATTCACAGACAAAAGTAATAAACCAAACTAATAAAAATTACGGATGACCAGAAACCTTCCCTGCAGAGTCTGACATATAATGGTTATTGATCCATAATAACTAGAGTCTGATTCTTGATCCCTGAAAAGATCTCCACTCTTTCCTGCTTGCTTTCTCGTCCAATCTGCCATAAAAGAAGAAGAAACGTCCAGTTTGCAGTCAGACAGAACCTCTTTGTACACCGAACTCCTGTCTGAGAGGTTCTGAGGCTCTTCGCGTCCCTAGGATCCCGTCTCAGAACATTAATTAAAAGCTGTTTGGTTTTCCAGTTAAGGAATGAAATCATTCAATCCGTCTGTTATTATAAACTCCAGGTCCAAACTGAGCTGGACCAGAACCAACCTGCAGGGAGGAAGGGAAGCCTAACTCGCGACCGAACGCCCTGA